ACGCAGATGGCATTCTCTGTCTTCAAACTTGTTCTCTCGTCATTCCTTCTCTGCATTTTCTTTCAGGAACCTACCAATGCTCTTAGAAAGGCAAGTAATTAATCTTTGCATTTATTTTAGAATTTTAGTTCTTCAATTACGGTTTTGTCACCATCTCTTCAAGTTCCAACTTTGAGAATTTCCAAATTAATTTATATTTTGTTGATGTATGATAACACATTTCACGAATTGCTTGCTTTGGATTCTCTGTTTCCAGACCTACGTTGTGTACATGGGAGCACATTCCCACGGTCCTGATCCTTCGCCTACTGATCTTGAAACAGCCACAAACTCACATTATGATTTACTGGCTTCTGTCTTAGAAAGGTAAAGCAACTATGAAATTAATTGTGTTCAAATATTTTCCATGTTTGGATATAAACAAAGTTCAACATTATTAAACAAGAGGATGAATACAATATATCATGCTCTTCTTCAAAAAATATATCACTATAGAAACATATACAAAACAAACCCATCACTCGCTAGAGACGTGTTACTAATTAATTAAAGTTTGTTCAACAGTCATGAGAAGGCCAAGGAAGCAATTATGTACTCGTACAATAAACACATCAATGGCTTTGCGGCCCTACTTGAAGAGGAAGAAGCATCGGAGATTGCAAGTGAGCAAACATTATTATTTATTTATTAATTGCCATGGCCATGGCATGTTTGTATTGTTATACAAGTTGATAATATCATGTTTGTATTGTTACAGAAAACCCAAATGTAGTTTCTGTTTTCTTGAGCAAAGAGCACAAATTGTTCACTACGAGGTCATGGGATTTTCTTGGACTGGAAAAAAATGGAAGAATTCCTGCAAACTCCACTTGGAGGAAAGCAAGATTTGGAGAAAATGTAATCATCGCTAATATCGACACAGGTATTCTTTATGCTTAGTTATAATTTATCAAGTTTTTTAGCTCTAAATATATAATTGAAGTTTGATTGCTAACCAATACGACACGGGTGCAAATAGAGGGATTGTCCTTGCTGAATTATTGTAGTACTTTACTTCTTTTCCCAAGACTAGTCTATCATGACTTCCTATTGAGAGAATATATATACTTTTTAAATAAAATATTTAAAATTATAAGCGAAATTTGTTAAATGAAATACATCCTACGTAATTTAATAATTGATCAGCAAATTGTAAATTTAAGAAATATATTAAAAATATAATATTATTATTTTTCTTCAACATAAAAAAATATGAACGTCTTTTTTCAGTTTATATATGTTTCAGCTGCATCATTTTGTCTCTTATTTGCTGGCACTTTCACATCTTTTTGACTAGTGGGTATACTTTTGACTTATATATATATATATATATATATATATATATATTGGATTTATAATAATATAAGTATAACTTTTACAAAGTATTACATCGCTTAATAACTTTATATTAAATGTGAATTTTGTAAATCTAACCGTTATATTAAAAATTCATATTACTTTATATGTTTATATTAAATTTTGTTAAAATTAAACAACAACTTGAAAGTATAGTCAATGTATTTATATTTTAGTATATTTTAAGATGTATATATTACATTAATTTTATTTTATAAGAATGAAGTATCAAATCATCTTGGATTAATATAAAATTTTGTATATATGATTTAAGAGTAAATAATTTTCAATCTAACAATTAGATTTACAAAATTCACATCTAATATAAAGTTATCGAGCAGTGTAATACTTGATAAAAATTACACCGATATTATTATAATCCTCCTTATATATACTAGAGGGATAGATGCCTCTAATAGTTATTCACTAATAAAATATTAGAAATTTTTGTTTAATTATTTAAAGAAAATTTATTTTTTAATATCTGAAAGTATAATAGTACATTAAAAAATAGAGACCAAAAAGCGATTATATCTCCTATATTCCTATAAATACACGTATTTATTTCTTATAATTATATATAAAATTATTTTTAATCTTTATCTATATCTATGTATAAAAATGATTTCATGTGAATCATTGGAATCAGCCTAATAGTAAAAGTTAAAGTAAAATGTATCAGATTTTAAATTTAAAATTTGATGTCATTATTATAATTTTGATAGATTAAAAAAAGACCATTTCATGTTTTTGTATATACAATTATTAGACTATTTTACTCTTAAAAATTATAACAACTTCTAACTTTGTATTTTTTAAAAATATAGAAAGACACATGGTACCACTTTTACACTAGTAATTATAAAAATCTTAAAAATAGTTTTCTCTATTGCTTTTAATTTCTTATAAATATTTTTATGATTATAAAGATTAAAAATAAATTTATTAGAGAAATTCTACCATACCCCTATATATTTAAAGGGTTTTGGAACTTTTTAAAAATAAAAAACACGTGAACAATTGATTTACAATTGATTAATTTTTAACATGTTTATTTTTTTCATTTTAATATATATCTTCCTGAAATTCTTAATATATATATATA